TTGCGATGCTGGAGCCGGTAGTGGCAGCCGCCAGGTCAGCCCCGCTCACGGAGGGCCTGCCTCCTCTTCACGGCCGCCGCCACTCTCTCCCTCGACTCAGCATTCCTGATATTCCTGCTGACGCCTATGTTCCGATGTGGTTAGCAGGTGTCGCCCAGCCATGAAAAACACTGCCCGGCGCTGTGCCAGCCTTGCAGCCACTGTCTGTCGATCCGTCTCACGAGGGCTTTCCTCTTGCCCACTGCCCCTCGACTGTACCAAGCAGATGTCCTCCTCCGGGCCTGGGCTCTCCTCCCAACTGCCGGACGTTTTCTTCCCGTGAGATTTCTGTGTCTCATTTTGCTGTGGCTGTCTCCGTGGCCATGGCGAAAACGCCAGTCGGTGGCTTTAAAGAAGAGACATTGGTTTGCTCACCGCTCGGGAGGCTAACCGTCCCGGCTGAGACGGTTCCTCCCCTAAGTCTCTCTCTCAGCTTCTGACACAGCTTGGCGTTCCTGGACTTGAGCAAGCTCCCTTCCCCGCGGTCTGTCTCCGCCTGTCGATGGGGCTGCTCTGTCCGGCTTGTTTTCAGAACTCATGATCAGGTGTAGGGTCCACCCCAGCAGCGATAGCCTCATCAACACAACTAGCAGCACGGCTCACAGGGACAAGGACGTGGACACGTGTGCTGGGGGATTGGAGGGCCCAGTGGCATCCACCACAAAAAGAATATACAATGAGTTGAGATATTATACACCATCTCTTTCCCTGTTTTAAAATCTTCTGGTAAATTTTTGTTTAATCTCTTGCTTGAAGGTTAAATACAGCTTGCATTTAAGCATCACGGCTCAGCATCTTTCGAAGGGTAGATGGTAAAGCTTCCTAGAGGGTACTCAGTTTCTTGCGTCGTTACCTATCTACTCAGGTTCCCTGATACCAGAGTTAAATTTAGCCGTCTATATTTTTCTAGAAAACTACCCGGTTTCCTCTAGGGTTTAAATTATATTAACCTCAGGTTACATGTAATGCTTTGTTAGAATTCTTCCACGGCTGTTGTCATGAACAAAATGAATGGCAATTTTCTCTGTGTTTTAACACTTTCGGGGAGCTCTCTCATCGGGGAGCACTCTCATCGGGGAGCACTCTCATCGGGGAGCATTCTCATCGGGGAGCTCTCTCATCGGGGAGCTCTCTCATCGCCGTCTCAGGCGAGTCCTTGTCCCACGGAAGGGACAAGGAAACAGACAGGAGGGGCAGTGGGAGGCGGAGTGCAGACCTGGGCTCCACACGCCAAGTTCCTCCAGCCAACGCACCTGGGCCCCCAGGAGTAACGCTGGGCTCAGGCAGGCTCATCACTGCCCTCGGAGCGCTGCGCTGGCACCTCCAACCCTGGGGTGTAAGGGAGGCACCTGTGGTTAGTGATGGGAAGGGCAGTCATTCACCCTGCAAGTGGCTCCAAGTGGCCTCAGAAAGCTGCTGTTGAGCTGGGGTGGGGGTGGGGGTGGGGGGGGGGGGGGGGGGGGGTAGGGAGCTGGAGTTTAGGCTGGAGGCCAAGTTGTGTACTTGGGGTTTTGAGGAAGAGCAGTAACCTGGGTTTGATCTGATTTCGTAAAGTGGCATGAGACCGGCCTTTCCATGGTGAAAGGGTGGTTCTGTGTCAAGCTTGCACGCATGCACATGCATGCACAAAATGCATGGAAAACTAGCATGGTAGGTGATGGAGTTTCCCCATGACTGTTTTGAAGTCCTTTTGTATACATACATGCATCAAAGCATATGCGTAATGTGTATGTCTGTATATATTATTTGTGTGTGTGTATACTCAGGGAGAAAGAAAGGTGAGGCTGTCTACTCCCATAGAGAGTTGCAGTCTCAGAAGCCCTATGGAGCAACTTCATTCCATCCGTACAGCAGCACTGTGAGCTGGACCAGACGCCAGCGCAGTGGGCTCTGACTTACAGCCACCCTGTAGGACTCAGTAGAACTGGCCCTGTGAGTTTGTGAAACCTCCCTGTGTGGGAGTAGAAAGCCTCATCTGTATGCAGAGAGAGAGGTTTGGTCTATGCCATTGTGTCAATCCTCTGAGCAAGGAGAACTGACCCACTGGCTTTTCTAGGCTGAATCTGGGAGTAGATTTCCAGGCCTTTTCTCCCGAGGAGCTCCCAAATCACCAGCCTTTTGGTTAACAGCCGAGCCCTCGGTCATTTGCCTGCCTTCCCCAGTGCTGCTCTCAGAACCACCACCGGGGAGTGGCTGTAACAACCAGAGATGCCTTCTCTCACAGTTTACGACGGCGGACAGTTGCGTCCAGAGCACCAGCTCTGGGGTAAGACTGTCTGTCAGCTCTGGGGGGGAGCTCTGTGTCCCCCTTCCAACGTCTGCGGAGGCTCCAGTCCTGGGAGTTGTGTTTTTGTTTTGAGATGTCAAGCTCAGTGACTATGCTTGGATTTTTTTTTTTTTTAAGAACCGTTTTGTTGTGAATCAAGAGTAAGAGTTTACAGAGCTCATCGCTGTTTGACCTTCAGCGATGCATGCACTCCGGGTCAGCCCACCACTGCAGCCTCTTCAAGGTGCCTGGATTCATCCCACTTCCTCCTTGTGCCTCCTCCTTCCATTCTTTCTTTCCTAACCCTCCAACCTCTGTCTGGAGATAAATAAGGCCCATTGGAACTTGCGTGGTTGATTATCCCAACCCTGAGCTTGCTTCAGTCCCAGACCGGAAAGGCAAGGGCCTTAGCCCTGGAGATCCCACCAGTCTCTGTCCGACCAGAAAGCCTGGTCCCTTTTATGATTTGAGTTCTATTTCGCATTAGTCTCCAGCCTCTACTCGGGACCTTCAAATGTGACCCTTTCCCAGTCAGCTGGTGGTGGTGGCTGGGCACCATCGAGTGCTTCTGGTCTCAGAGTCATGGACGCTGGTGTTTGCATGGTCCCGTAGTCCACGGGACTACTCGTGTCTTCACCAGTCTTTGCTCTGGATGGGGAGAGGTCAGTCGTGACCCCTTAGATCATGGCGCTCGAGCTCTTAGGACCCTCCTCGCTGCTCCCCGCCATAGGGTGTGGAGCATTGTCTTTGTGAACTAGGTCATGCCAATGGACCTCAGTGACCCCTGAAATTTGGTCCTGATCCCCCAGGCCTAGACTCCTTTCCTCAAGGTGTTTGGGCATGTCTAAGAAGTTTGCCTAACTTTGTCCCCTGAAGGCTCCCCCTACCCCCCTTGCATGAATATATTGCAACAAAAGTATATACAGACACAAATATCCTCAGGCAGGCTTATGGACACTCATGGATATACTCCCACTCTCCCTCTCCCACACTGGTTCCATCTGTATGCCTATCCAAGCCTCCATGTGTAGCTTCCCCACTGCTGCAGGAATATGTCTACAGTCAGATTTGCCTCTTGCCTCCGACTCTCGCAAGTCCCCGTGGTTTCCTTTACCTTCCTTGGAGACTGCCGTGTGCCTTGGCATCCATCTCGCCCTAGGTCTAGGATCTTCTCTTGTGCAGGGGCCCCAGGCCCAAAGGTTACACTTGGCTTCTGACTCAGCCAATCATGAACTCCCTGTGGAACTCAATAGAGGACCCCTGGTGGGGCAGTGGCTAACAGCTCTGGGCTGCTGCTACCTTAAAGGTCAGCGGTTCAAACCCACCAGTCACTCCACGGGAGAAAGTTTTGGCATGTGGCAGTCTACTTCTGTAGCGATGACAGCCTTGAAAAACCAGCGGGGGCAGTTCTACTGTGTCCAGCGGGGGCCACCATCAGTCGGAATCCACTGGATGACAACGAGTTTGGTTTGGGGTGGGTCTTGAGGGAGCCCTGGTGACCGCAGGGGTCAAGTGCTCCATTGCTAAGCCCACTAGCCTCTCCCTGGGAGACAGATGTGGCTGTCTGCGTCTGTCAGTGTCTCGGTTGTTTGGTACCACCAAGCCAGTTCCAGGTCCAGCCATGAGCCCGGTCCTCAGCCAGCCGCACAGCTGTCCTTAGGTTTGAGCCCATTGGGACAGCCACAGGGCCAACCCATCGTGTCCCTTTCACCACCCCCTGACCTCCGCAAGCATGCCGTCCTCCTCCAGGGACTGGTCTCTCCTGAGACCGTGTCCAAAGGGTGTGAGACAAAGTCTCGCCGTCCTCGCCTCTAAGGAGCGCTCTGGCTGTGCTTCCTCCAAGACAGGTGGGTTTGTCCCTTTGGCAGTCCGTGATACTTCCAATAGTCTTCTCCAGCGCCAGCATGCAAATGCGTGCACTCTCCTTTGAATACCAAACTCTACAGCGTGGTCAACCCTATGGGGCAGTTGTGCACATAGTGACCTTAAGGGGTCACTGTGCATCAGAATCCACTTGATGGCAGTGAGTTTGTTTGGATTTGTGGGTGTCCGGGACTGTCATATTGAGTGGTGCCCTTAGCTGACGGTGGGACTGCAAGATAGTGTAACAACTGCTGTCGGCCTGTGCCATTGAGGCAAAGTTCCATTCTTCCCAAGACAGTAGACCTGCCCCATAGGGCTTCATATGCTGTGTATAAGACAGCAAGAGCCGTCTCTCCCAGTGCCCCGCCTGCCAGGCAATCTGAGTCTGCAGGTGGACAATAAAGACCGTGGCCTGTAAGTACTATACAGTACCGTATAGGCCACGGTCTTTATTGTATGCGCCAACCTGTTAGTTAGCTCCAAGGTGACCTTGGCGACAGTTGGGGCTCATGGTTTAAAGAGCATTCCAGGGCAATCGTCTTGAGGAGTCCTCCAATCGAAACCAGGCCGATAACTCTTGAGTTTCTAAAATAATATGAACTTCCATTCCACATCTTTCTGTTCCCCATCCCATCAGGGCCATCCGCCTATCAGATCCATGCTCAGCAGTGGTAGCCGCACACCATCTAGTTCTTCGGGTCTCCGGGTAGATGAGGCTCTTATAGTCCCGCAGGCTAGTTTCTTCTGAGTCCATGACTCCCTCTCTCCTCTTTTGCTCTAGGATTATAGCGTTTACATTAATTGCAACAACCCTCCTTTCTGTTTTCCCCAGACCTCTGTGGAGTGGGCTGAGAAGATGCCCAAAGCGCCCCTGCCACCCAAGTCCCTGCCTCCTAAGGACACGGGCAAGAGGGACATCCTGGCCCGTCTCCACAAAGCCGTGACCACCCACTACAATGCCATCGTCCAGGAATTCGAGAACTTCGACACGATGAAAGCCAGCGTGGTCTCCAGGGACGAGTTCCGGGCCATTTGCAATCGGCACGTGCAGATCCTGACGGACGAACAAGTAAGACGTGGGCTGGCTCCCTGAGCTGGGGGGCGCCGCAGCGAGGGTTTAAGACTGTCCGCTCCTTTCAAACTGTGGGAAGGGTTTGGGTTTGAGTTTGGGTGTTGAAGCTTACCAGAGACTCGCCACACCTTCCGTTTCCTTTGTTAATGTCGGGGGCCGTCGAATTGATCCTGACTCCTAGCCAGTCCAGGGGGTGCTTCCTAGGCTTTGTGACCTTCATGAGAGCTGGTCACCACCTGTGTCCCCATAGAACTGCTGGCTGGGCCCGAACCACCGACCTTTCAATTAGTGGCGTGAGTGGAGACAGACAGCTGTGTGCCAACAAGAAGTGCCCTGAGAGCTCCTTCAGACGCGGGGGGAGCTCAATGGGCGGCAGCAGGACTGCCAGGTAGAGGTGTGGTCGGGACAGAGCATCTACTGGATAAACCCAGGGGAGGAGCCTGGCCACAGGCGGGCCGTGCCTGGAAGAGCCGCTGTCTCCCCTCTTCCTGGGGGAGGGCACAGAAGCTCCAAGTGTGTCCGTGGTTCTCATCTTCCGGCCTCGACCCTTTCATACAGTTCCCCATGTGGTGGTGACCCCCAACGATGAAATTATTTTCGTTGCTACTTCATCGCTGTCATTTTGCTACTGTTAGGAATCGTCATGTAAATATCTGATATGCAGGATGTATTTCATCGTTACAAATTGAACATAATTAAACATCATTAAAGCATAGTAATGAATCACAAAACAATATGTAATTGTATAGTGTGAAGTATTTGTGTGTTTTCTGATGGCCATAGGCGACCCTTGTGAAAGGATCATTTGACACCCCCAGAGGGGTCGAGACCCCAGGTTGAGAACCACTGGTTTAAGTAGCCTGTCCAGGTCACGTGACTGCACACGGCCGACACTCAGACTCACTGCCATGGGGTCAACGCTGGCTCATAGCTGACTGGTGGGCTTCCGAGGAGATTGTAACTGTTTTTTGTTTGTTTGTTTGTTTGTTTTTTGAGATTGTAACTGTTTATGGGAGTAGAAAGCCCAGCTGACTGAGCACACCTTTCCCGTGATGTAACCGTTGTGAGTTGCATCCTTTCCATTGGGCACTGAGAGCAGCACCTTCATTTTTTAGAGAAAATTAAACTCTCTCTGTCCTCTTCGCTGGGCCACCCTGGGGCAGGTGTGATCCAAAGAGCAGGCAATCTTGGGCATTTACAGGCTCCGGGGCAGCTGCTGCAAGCTTGCTGGAGACTTGCCTACCCCCCCACCAGTGCCCCCTTCTGCCCACAGGCCGGACCTGCAGCCAGGTCTGTCCAGCTTGGGCTCCCGCAGAACGAGCCGCTGGAGGGGCTAGGCCCAGCTCTGCCTCAGCTCACGGCCTCTGGCAGCTGCTCTTCCTAGCCCTCCGAGGCCCGGCCCTCCCAGCAGGTGGAGTCCCTACTGCCTGCCCTGCCACCTCAGCTGGAGGAGGAATGGGCCTCGCGGCTACCAGGAGACAAACAGTGTCAGCACAGGGACAATTGTGCCCGTGCGCGCTGTCCACGGTCCCCTCCCATCAGCCCTGGGGTGGGTCAGTGGTCTTCCATACACACGGACAGTGTCCCAGTGTGTGTTGTCCACAGTGCCCGCCCCCACCGTGTCAGCCCTCTGTGGATTGAGGTCCTCAAGGGGCCCGGTTAGAGAAGCAGCTTCCTCTGACACCTCCCCCGTCCCCCACACTAGAACGACTGCTCCACACCCGTCCAGTTCTCAGGGCCAGCATCCCCCCTCCCCAGGAGCTCCTGAATACTCACAGCCCCTCCTTCCCCCAAGCCCCCACCCCTTCCTGGTCCTGCCAGGCCCAGCCCAGGAAGCGGCCAATAGAGCCCTGAGTTAGTTAATTGTGCCAACCTGGCCGATAAACACATGTGGGGCTAATGGAAAGGTGGAGGGATAAATGGGTGGTGAGCTCGCCTTTCTGGTTCTCGGGTCTCTTGTTTTGTAATGGTTGCACCGGGTGTAGCTGCCTTAGCAGTTCCCTG